GGGAGTGGCAGGCGTGCAGATTTGGCACAAGTGCCAATGTCTCTGTGCAAATGCTGGGGAAAGGTGTGTGTGTGAGGTTGGGGTGCACATGAAGGCAAGTGTGATGATCCGGGGCGTGCCGTGAAGGCAACACAATTAGATAAGCAATAAGAGTCCCTTTATTATCTCCAAATTTGCCCCCAATATCCTGATTACCTTCTGGCTGGAGAAAAAACTCTCCCAGGAACAGCCTTTGACTGCAGAAAATTAAGTCCAAAACATGAGCAATACAAACTGTAACTTAAAAGTCCAAACAAGCCAAACTGAAGTAATTAGTTTGGCAGGGCAGGAGCAAGAATTTCCAACTTGAAGGTACAGCAAAACTCACACAGTTGGGAAGATGCCAGGAACGCAGATACAAAGACCACACAGGATAAAGTCACATTTGCTCCCAGCAGCCTGCTCCACGCAGCCTGCCTTTGTTATCAACTGTCTTCCCAGCTATGGCTAATGAAGGGAATCAGGGCCCTTTCCTCCCCCGTAAGCCATGCAACCCACCTTGCTCCCTTCTCCGTTCCTGCCTGTGTGCCCTAGGATGAAGAGGGAGTGGGCCTGGCTCTTCCTCTGGACTCCCTCTCCCTTGTTCTGCATCTCCCTTGTTCTACCTCTCCCCTGCTCTGCCCAGCCAGACTTGCCTTTCCCCAGTTCCCTCCGCAGCCAGCGGAGCCACACTCCCACCCCTTCAGCTGTTCGTCGCATTTCCAGGGTCACGCAATCAAAATTCAGAAACATGACTCATATTTATGACAGTTGCAGAGACCGGGGCTCACGTGATCCCCTTTTGTGACCTTCCGACAAGCAAAGTCCACGAGGAAGCCCAGATTCACTTACCGATTGTGTAATGAACTTAAAGAACTGCAGTGATTCACTTAACAACAGTGGCCAGAAAGACTGTAAAAACTAATTGAACACCTGTCCGGCTTATCAACAGAAATTGTGGGATAGAATAGAATAGAATAATAGAAGAGAAAATAGGGAAGGGAAGGGAATATACAAAATAGAGAGAAAAGAATAGAATATACAAAACACAGAGAATAGAATAGAACAGAGAATAGAATATACAAAATACAGGGAATAGAACAGAACAGAGAATAGAATATACAAAATACAGGGAATAGAATAGAACAGAACAGAGAATAGAATATACAAAATACAGAGAGCAGAACAGAGAATAGAATATACAAAATACAGAGAATAGAATATACAAAATACAGAGAATAGAACAGAACAGAATAGAATACAAAACATAGATAATAGAATGGAATGGACTAGGAATAGAATAGAATAATAAACTTTATTGTCACTTTGAATGCTCACCTAATCGGCATACAGTAAAGTGGAATTTCGCTGCATGCCGCTCTCAGAGGGTCACCACCTCCAATAGACACTATCTAATATAACAAGATAAATACAGAAGGATGCCTATACCAGTTGTGGATGAAAGTCAGAAACTACCTGCGTGGTCATAAGTCAAGGACTAGCTGTTTCTCCTCCTGCTCTTCTGCTTGAGCAGGGGGCTGGACTAGAAGACCTCCAAGGTCCCTTGCAGCTTGATTCTGATTTCTGATTTTGTAAGGATGGGAGCAATGGGTCGGTCCTATTCCCCCACCACCACACCCCATATCCCAAATGTACTTCCCCAACCCGGTGCCCTCCAGATAACGTCAGAGGTGCCAGCCTCCACCCATGCAGAAAATTGCATCCTGATTCTGCCAAGTCGGAGGGAGCCTGCTTCGCGGTATGAAACGCAGACAATTATCAGAGCATAGAAGGTCGAGAGGACCAGTGCTTCCCTCTCCCCGCTTCTGCCATGTGCTGACAGCTTCTTCCGGGCAGAACGAAGAGTCCTGACAGCTCTTGATGTTCTTGTGCGTTCATGCTGTCCCAGGGAGCTTGTGCGTTTTCCCCTCTTCCTTCCAGCCTTCTTGGTGTTTTGCTAACTCTTTTTTTAAAAAAGTATTTTATTTATGAACATTTTTGAATACAGCGTATACCATTTCCAAGAAACAAAACCCATCGCTAATACTATAATAAATATGAACCCGTTAATCGATAACAATACTAATAATATACTAACACATAAATTAATAGCAATAATAATATCTACCCACCTAGCTATCTATATGTGAAATACCACTCATGTATCATCACAAAATCTCCAGAACCCTAAAACCTACAAACTTGAAATTGGGCACGTATGTTCCTCTTGGCTTCTAGGTGCTCACTGAGAAAGGATTTTTGGAAATGACCCTCAGATCATTTAGAGTATTTCCTATATTATTAACATGCTCTGATGCTAAGGAGTTCTACTCCCCCTCCCCACCTGAAAGGAAATCTCTTCCAAATGCAAAACACAAGCAGAGGAGAGGAGTTTCCATTTCAGTTTCACAGCACCAAGCAGCTTTAGTACAGAACAGTTGAGCTAAGCCACGCCCAGGCTCCTTGCTGTCTCCTCCTTGCTCACACAGCAAATACTGTTTCAGGATTTGAACCCCTGAATTTGTCAAAGCGTTTGCAGCACCTGACTGCTACTGTGAGACAACCCAGGAGCAAAACACAGCACACACTTAGACACTTGACAGTAGTTTATGTACAAAACAATATACAGAAATATACCTGGTAGGCAAAATACCTTACAAGCAATCAATCTTCTTCTTAATTCTACACAGAGAACTCTGTAATGAATTCTGGACACAAGGAGAGAGAACACGCCCTCTAATGGCTCCCTTTATATAAACAGCTTTTAAAGGGATAGAACCATCCCCAGTGTTAAAGGAAAATACCCTATATCATCCCTATTGCAGCTTCACTGCTGGTCGGCTCTTAAACCCCAAGACCTTAACAGAATTGCATCAAATGTAGATTATTCTCTGGGTCAGGAATATGGTAGCTTGCCTGGGGTGGAGAAGGGGCACGAAACTTGGATGTGGACCGTTTCTCCTGCGGCCCACAAGAAGCGTTTTTTCCCAGCCTTGTTTTTCAGAGAGACAAATTCCAGGCACGCTGGGAAAACATAAGAGCCGCTTTAAACGCGCGCTTAATTCCATTAAAAATAATAAACCACCTGGCAAGAAAATTTTAATGGCTGTGTGAATCGAAAGGCTGAATGCCCCAGGTGAGTCTCCGACTCTAATTAAGCTCTAATGGGATCTAGCACACCCTGGGCTCTGGGATTTTATTTTATTTTTATTTTAAATCGTACAGGATGTTCTAGAAGCAGGAGAGAACTTTTCCCCACTTTGCCATCCCTGATGGCATCTCTGCCTTTGCCCTAATAGCATCTCTGCCTTGATCGGCGTTACAGGATTACGGATCTGAAGTGCTTGGAAAGCTTTGCAAGCGATGAATTAATGGAAAGAATTTCTAAATGTTAATAGTGGGCTAAGAAGGGGTTGTCTGGCTATGCATGGAAGTGTGTGGGCAGATATACAGGTACCCCTGCCTGCCTGCCTGCCTGCTTCCTATCCTTCTTTCCTATCCATCCATCTATTCTTCCTTCTTTCCTTCTTTCGTTCCTCCCTCCCTCCCTCCCTTCCTTCTTCCCTTCCTACTTACGTTTCTCCTTCCTTCCTTCCTTCCTTCCTCCCTTCCTCCCTCCCTCCCTCCCTCCCTGCCTTCTTCCTAGCCTTCTTTCCTTTTATCCATCCATCTATCCTTCCTTCTTTCTCCCTCCCTCCCAGCTGGGAATGAGGGCCCACCTTGGAAGGTGGCTTCCTGGGGTCCCTTGGTATGTGAAGATAATCCTTCAGAATCAGACTAGGGCTGGAAGGGGCCTTGGAGGTCTTCTAGTCCAACCCCCTGCTCAAGCAGGAGGCCCTATATAATTTGAGACGAGTGGCTGTCCCATCTCTTATTTAAGACTTCCAGTGTTTTTTTTTTTAACATAAATTTTATTAAAGTTTTACAGTACAAAAACACCTAAAATGTGTTTACAATTTTTGCAATCCGTTGTAGCATCGTTTCCCCCCCATCTTCCATTATTCATATCTATATACATATATGCATTATTCATATTTACATGATATATTATCTATTATTCCTGTTATCTATCCAAGTATATAAATTCTCCCAGACCGTATAGAATTCTCTTTTTTCCTTCTCTTGCAATTCCATAGTAAGCTTATTCATTTCCGCACAATGTATGTATGTAATCTTACTGGATGTACTTCCCTATTCCCTTATACTGCCCATCACTTAATACCCACTTTTAGATATATGCCAACTTGTGTACCGCCTGCTACTTTCAGTTCCCCCTTTTCTCAATGTCCCAGACATTCGTGGTCCAAAGTAGCTACTATTTTTGATTGTCCAGCAAATATATGCTTTTTGCAGAAGTAGCAGATAGCAAACATATCGCTGTGCCTGCAAAATCAGCTCAGCCGGCATTATTATATATATATATTATTATATATATTTGATATATATTTAATTTAAGGCCTTCAATTAAGCAGAGGCCTACACCAACTTTAAAGCCTAGTTGCCCTTTTCTGACAGTGGAGATGTTGCAGTGGTCGTTAAGTGTGAAAAATGGTTTAGAAGTCACATTTTGAACATTTTGAACTTTGAACGGTCACAAAATGAACACGTTCTGACCCAAACCTTGTTCCAAGGAAACAAACATGAAACACAGGTAACAGCAAAACCTTTTAATTATTTTTTATGAATTCCATTCCTTCCTGGTTAAAAGGCTGTTTCAAACTAATTGTCTCTGATAAGAACGAGCCTTGCCAAGGTAGTGCAACGCTGCCAAGAACACTAGAGAAAGTTACTAAGGAATATTTCAAACACAAAGAGTCTCCAAACACCAGCCAAGATAATCCGAACATCCCCAAGGCTTGAGTGCAAAAACTTCTTTGCTTCCTGCAAGGGACTCTGGTTTCTCAGCTGGCTTTTATCTCTTAAGGGTAATAATAATAATAGTAATAGTAATAATAATAATAATAATAATAAT